TTACAGCTCCAGAGACAATTAAAGAGATTCGAAACCTTTGCTCTGTTCTTTTATAAGTAATGTAAAATACTATCACTCAGACGGTTACAAAACAATAAACGTCTCGCTTGGTACAAGACACACGCTTACGTTTAAAACCTTTCGTTTACTTTATTACCAGGCAAATGACTCAAAAATTCTCTTTATTACATTCGTTATTTATATTATTAATCATTGTTACAGGGATCGACGATCATGGTACAGTACCTATTGAGCTCAATCTTACTAATGCCCCATCATAATTATGGTCGATCGTATTATCACGTGAGCCGCTCGAATATTTCCGTTCCATCCTTGCACTTTTCGCTTCGTTATAAATTTGCATCTCTTTTACTCTAAATACAAGGGTTCTCCGAAAATTGTGCGACAAATACCAGGGAAAAAGCCAGCTTTCAAACATTCCCACTAAAAAACTAGTTACTAATAAATATATATTAAGTACTGTATGTGCAGTTCTTCTGTCATACCAACAAGAATTTTGAAAATATTAAACATCTACTATTTGAACTAATACCCCGTGATCTTGATATAGTGATCGGGGGTATTATTATTATTAAGTATCGTGATCTGTATTAACAATCGCCCCCAAGTCGTTTTTCAATCGGTGAAAATGAAAAATAACTTATTAATAAATCGGCATGAGTTGAAAAATGACACATAGCATTATTACACAGAAAAAATTTATCTAATTTCCGAACTTTTAATAATTCTCAAAATTTGATTAATTTTCGAAAGTTTCCAAATATAATAAATTTTGTTGATTGCTTTCAAGGAAAAGTTGCAAAGAAGGTTAAAAGTCGACCGTCAAACGTACGTTGTAAAGTGAGTATTTGGAGTGACTATAACTCATGGATAAAATACAAAAAAAAAAAAAAAAAACCTACTCGAAGGCGTGAAAGATTCACCCTTGTTATAACATAGTGATCGGGTTGAGAAATTAAATTGTTTCAGAGAATTACTCGGTTATAACGAGGGTGAACTGTACATGGAATCGATGGGTTTATATACATTATGAATTACGTTGGAGCTTTACTACTATAAGATCTTAGAATCTTATAAGCATTGGCTAACGATAAGTAGTTTATACATGCTCAATTGCATGACTATGTACTTTAGTTTCCACCATTAGAATATCGAAGGCGTCTTACTATTGTTCTCAATGGAGCTTCGCCTCGAACCAACCCCGAATTAGCATTATTAGATGCCTTCTTTTTTTGTCGATTAATGCGCATTTAAGGTCCCGAGTCATGTGGCTTAGATCACGTTTACGGATGACTGCGGCCAAGTCATCGTCACAATACTGTACCAGCGAATCATAGTGATAGTAATCAATCTTTTCCAAATTTGGATTTTTTGGCAACCGATATACAGTAAATTTTCTTGAAAGTAACTCATATAAATTCTTACGAATTTTTACTAATTTTTCAGCATGGACTCCCTTTTTGTCCAGAGAATTTTTGGTACAGTCAGACCCCCCTAAATGCAGCACCTCTCTAAATGCACGTCTTCTTTTGGGTCCAACTAATATTATATCTATAGATTTTTACCTTCCTAAATGCAATACCTCCCTAAATGCACGTACTAGAGCTGGTCCCGACGACATGCATTTAGAGAGGTCTGACTGTATATAACTTAGATAGAGATATAACTAAAGTAGAATTTAATAAATATAAGACATTTATTCTATTAGATAATGAGGATATAACTTAGTAGAGTTAAACTGCATGTTTTGATGAGTGTTACAATACACACGAATGTGACACAATGTAAAACCTTTCGATAAATTCGATGCTGCAATTTTACTACGTAACATTTGTAACATTGCGCTAAGTTGTCAATTTATAATAACCTATTTGGTATGTAGCCAGAAAAAATCGTCACTTCATCAGATATTATTCAAATGCCCAACAATGCTGTTTAATTAGGATTTTCTTAATGAAATACGTAGTTAGTAATCTATATATTGAAGAAAGATTGAAATGCATAAATTCTCGTTAAGTTCTGAACCAATTTCTAATAAATAAGAAACAAAATCCAGTTAATATTCTCAATTTTTGATTAGATACTCAATTCAATCCTACGGTTCAAGTCATTATTGCAAGTTGTTATTGTTATGGTAAATGTGCTAAATGGATTGAAAAGGACAAACATAAGGCGTTTATTTATTACCGAATTGACGTTGAAAAGGAATTGGTGTTGATAAAAGGCATTCATTTATTATCAAAAATCGACAGATATGGGAAATGTTAAGAGAGTAAGTGAAGTTGGAATTGTTATATTTGTGGAATTGGGATTGAAAAGGATGAGTATAAGGTTCCTTTATTATCAAAAATCTGTAGAGATGGGTAAATGTCAAGTGTTGTATAATGTTATCGAAATAGAATTGGAATAATAAGAGATCTGATAAAGCCAAATACTAATATCAAAGGCAAATTTTAATTTGAGGTTAAATTTGTACGGTATGTTGTGAGTACCACAATCAAATGATAAGATCAGACAATATATATATGTTCAAAGATAATGTGATATATTTTACGTGGTGAATGAATGCAAAATTCCTAATTATGTTTTGCTTGATAGCAAATTTAATTTGTATTTAAAAATTTTTTTTTTCGCTTCCTTTCGTTTTTTTGATCTTTTTTTTTATTAATCGGTAATGGATACCGATTTTAAGACGATATATGTCATTTCTCAATTTGAATGACACATGTCAATTAATAATTGAAAAACGACGCAGAACATATTAACTACCTCATAAAAAAGGTTGTATTTGATACATTTCTATCTCGTAGCATCAAATGATCTAAACCTCACAACTAGGAAATCTGAAGGCATCGTATTAATTTACACAATGATGATTAATGTACACCTAATATCTCTTCCTAATATTTAAGCCTAGTTAGGATTTGGTTTATGAGTTTATATTTAGTATTTATTTAGTATTTATTTAGTTAAATTATTGGCTTTTTACTGATATATTTAATTATTAACGACTCAGATTTAATAGGGTGTGGTGTTAGTTTAAAATATTTCTTTATAGCAGCGTTAAATTTATAAAAATTAATATATATAAATTAATATGTACCGTACCATTACGAAATTAAGCACCCCCCGAAATTAAGCACCAACAAATTTTGTATAATATCCGAAAATAAGCACTCCCTAAGTATAATCGTATCGGATTTTTACTAAGCAAATCTGTTTCTAAATAAAGGTATTCCCCAGGTCAAGACGATTCTAATGGTGGTAAAATTATCAAAATCGGTTCAGTAGAACGTTTACAATTATTCTTCAAATTTTAGGCGACATTTACTTTTCATGACTGTAGATACGTAAGCAAATGCAAACAAACGTCGATCGAATTTTGAAGAGCAATTTCTGAAGTTCTACTGGATCAATTTTGGCGATTTTACCATCGTTAGAATCGTCTTAACCTGGAGAATGTCTTTACTTAGAAATAGTAGGAAGGTTTACTTGGCACAAAATCCGTATTATTAATTTTTAAATTAATATCCGAAAATAAGCACCACTTATAACAAAAAAAGGGTGCTTAATTTCGGAATGGTACGGTATATATATATATATATATTTTAGCACGAATTTCAATTTTAAAGAATCTTATAAAAGCAAACCGATTAACAATTCTTTTATTAAAGAAAACTTTTGAATTAACGGTCATAACTGAAAAAACGAATCTGAACTCAAAATTACGTTTGCCAACTTCATTCTGAAATATGCGACATTAGGGGGTTTCAGACTTAAGGTTCGGTTTCGAATTAAATTAGTGATGTATATATTTTGTAATCAGTGATCTATATTAAGATATGATATACATTACCCAAAAAAGTTTACTTATTTTATCTCCGATTTCATTTTCTCATTTCGAAATTTTCAAGACATTTCATACTCTCACTTATTTTCAAAATAAGTTAACTCTGAAACCCTCTAATGAAATAGTTACAAATCAATATACAATAGATATGGTTAATCTCTTCAACTATTGAACAGCATAGCGCATACAATCAAATGGTTGTTTTGGGAAAATCAGGTAAGACAGTAAAAAAACTATTCTGACCAATATAGTTGACTCTTCAAATGACTAAATAGTCGTCTATTTTCCCTATATTAAATTAGGCGAAACTAATTTTGGTGAGTTTCAGGTTTACAATGTGAAATTAATTCCTACTAGAAAAACGTCCGGATTTAAAAAAATAATTTCGCTCAGAGCACTAATAATAGACATAAATTTTAATCTGCATACTATATTAACCGTTGAAATTAATTGAAGAAAAAACAAGGATCACAAAGGCAATTAAAATCTTAAATAATTGAATGTTTTATTTAATTAATCGGTAAAATTCATACCGATTCCAAAGAGATATACGTTACTCATTGTTTGCTTTGATTAAAGATACTATTATAGTTCTATATTACTTTCTTCGCATGAAGATTTTCCTTCAAACATTTCCTTTGTGTCATTGCACATCAATTCATAAGTAGTTGTGTGCCTGCGTGATAATCCTCAGTAGTGTCACCGCCCTTATTTGATTCTTGAGCTTCAAATTAACAATATTAATTGCCAATATTTCTGCTGAAATATTTGCTTGACATCATCTGAATTAGATAGGATTGCTTTGATTAGCGGTATTATTTGCCAATACTTCTGTTGAAATATTTTGCGTGCTATCAGCTGTGTTGCCAGTACTATTGGATTTGGTTCGCCGCCTTTTAATCGTTCGCGGTACATCTTGGTCAACTGATGATTGATGCTTTTTTATGGGGACAAATAAGCTACCATAAGTACTAGGAAAAGCATGTGGGTTCGACAATATTGAAAACTTCAAATCTGATGGATTTATTGGTGGCATAAAAAGACTGTTTACGTTTGGTTGAGGTGGTAGAGGTTGTTGAGGTTGTTGTGGGGTGACAAAAAGATGAAAATCCATTAATCCAGAAGTATCTTCAACACCTCTTTTACGGCATCCCACGAAAACAAAATATTTACGAAATTGTTGGTATAAATTTTCAACAAAGTTCAATTTAAGTAGATATTTTCCAAAGGATAAAGCTTTAAATTGATCTTCTATTATGTATTTCATACCCAATAGGTGATGTGTTCCTTTACTTGATTTTGTAAAATGCCAAAAGTACGGTAATATTTCGTCAACTTTTTTGTACATCTGATCTAACATATGTAATTTAATCCTTATTTGTTTTTTGTCTTCTTCAGAAAGATTAATTTTGTGATATTGAATTTTTTTTTTTCTAATCTTACTATCTATTTGTCTTATCATATCTAATGCTTCTTTCTTCTCCTTCTCGGTCAACGTTGCTGGTTGCCGAGGTTGTGGTTTAGATTTGTTTTTAAAAGGTATATAACAAGCACCGAGATTATTAGGGCGCATGAATGGTTTAATTGGAGTTTTTGAACGAACATAGTTCATATTAAGAAGTTGCTGTTGTTGCTGTTGTTGCTGATGCTGAAGCAATTTTTGCCGCAACAAAGTACTAAATTGCTGCTGCTGTTTTTGCTGCAACAAAGCATTAAATTGTTGTTGCGGGGGCTGCAACAAACCATTAAGTTGTTGATGTTTTTGTTGCTGTTGTATTGCCGTTAGTTGCTGCAGTCGTTGAAGCAATGGTTGCTGTTGTTGCAGTGGTTGTTGTTGCAACAATTGTTGCAGACGTTGCTGTTGTAATGAGAATCTTTGAGTTTGCGCTTGCTGCTGTTGTTGTAGAGAATGAACCGGTACTGGTTGTTGCTGCAATTGCTGTGATTGTGAATTTGATAATAATTGAGATAATAAGGTTTGTGTTAGATGCGATTGTTGTTGAGCAACTTGAGGTTGCTGCGATAGCGCAACATTCTTTTGTGTCTGTTGTTGTAGTTGTAGTTGTTGAGCAGCCGCTAGTTGCTGTTGTTGAAGAGTCTGTATCAGAATTTGTTGCTGCAATTGCTGTGATTGTGAATTTGGTAAACGTTGAGGTAGCAAAGGTTGTGACTGTTTTTGAATGATTTGAAGTTGCTGCAATGGCGTAGCATTCCTTTGTGTCTGTTGTGGTTGTGGTTGTTGTTGTTGTTGTTGTTGTTGTTGTTGTTGAATAGCCGCAAAGATTGGACGTTGTTGCTGTAATAGAATTCTTTGGGTTTGTGCGTGCTGTTGTTGTGGAGAAGGAATCGGTTGCTGCTGTTGTTGAAGAGTCTGTATCGGAATTTGTTGCTGCAATTTCTGTGATTGTGAATTTGGTAATTGTTGAGGTAGTGAAGTCTGTACTTGCTGCGACTGTTGTTGAGCGACTTGAGGTTGTTGCTGCGATTGTTGTTGTTGAACTGCCGCTAAGACCGGACGTTGCTGTTGCAATAGAATTCTTTGGGTTTGTGCTTGCTGCTGTTGCTGTCGAGAAGGAACCTGTTGTTGAAGAGTCTGAATTGGTTGTTGCAATTGCTGTGATTGTGAATTTGGTAATCGTTGAACTAGTAAAGTTTGTGCTTGTTGCGACTGTTGTTGAACGACTTGAGGTTGTTGCGATGACGCAGCATTCCTTTGTATTTGTTGTTGCTGTTGTAACTGAACGGCTTGTTGTATTTTATTAGTTAACTCTCGTAACTTTGTTTCAATAAGCTGGATGTATTCATCTTTGGAATTTGCACAATTATGAGATTCAATTTCCCACTGTTTCGATATCTGAAATCTATATACGGTAGGTTGATTAAGGAGCTCTAAACCTTTATAAAACCTGCCAACATTAATCTTCCTTTCGTCTTCGTTGAGAAGAAGTCGCCAGTCAGTTGTTGCACTAGACATAACTATCTGTCCACGATTTGAAAAATATGACTTTTTTTAAGGAGAAAAATTCACTTTGAAAAATGGTTGTCTCTAAAGTTCAAGCGGAAAATAAATGAAATTAGGATCCGCAATTTGTCCTGTCATTTTATACGCCAATGAGTGGCGTATTTACGCTTGATTTCGCATATTGCTTATTTCAGTATTTAAATTGGGTTGATGATCGACGTTATGTGCAACGTGATACGTTTGTAGGTCAAAAATTTAATTTTTATGTTAATTTTATCTCGCGAGAAGTTCATTTCTGATACTGGCCTGAGTTTAGTTATACTGTTAGCGTAATTACTAGATTATGGTATGTCATAATTAATTACACATAAAAATTTACGCCGTTAATCATATTGCCATAACCTCCATATCGACGTAATTTATTTCCACTTTGCTTTTGTTTAATTAGGTAGGGGCTTCATAATTAAAATGCAGGGAACCTAGGTTTGTTGAAATAGATGACGTATTGTTTCAAATAAGATAGCATCAATATTTATTTCGTTTTCCGATAGATTTGAATTAATGATTAGGAAAAGTTGGATTAAGTCAATTGTAGGCGCCCTTCCATTTGGCACAGAAGAGTGACGAATCATTCGAGTGACAATAAGAATTAACTAACGCATCTATGGTGTTTTACACCGATATATATATTGTCTCAAAAACTGGTTAATTGATAAGTGCAAGATGTCCTAAGTAAAAATGCTCTATGTCCTAAAAACCCCTCCCTAACACTAAATACTAACATAAAAACTTTGCCTTAAAAATTTTTATATTCAAAACTTAGAAAAACATAAAAAACATAATAAAGCAAATCCACCATAGGTACGTTTTATAATAAATGATATTAGTTAATGCTTATTCATGATTCGTCATACCCACGTGCTAGATGAAAGGGTCGCCTATTTTGTCAAATGTATCGTTGTTTTAGTTGGATCGACATTCTGCATTTTTGAGTCCCGTGAGTCCACGAATACAACATAGCCACTTTATATTCGTCGTATTTGGTGAAATATGACGAAGGTGAAGTGATTCAAATTATGCAGATCGTCGATCCCAACTAAATTGAAAAATTCATAATTATAATAACGAATATTCAGAATATTTTATAGAATGTTAGCATGCCATTATTCCGATATTGTTTGTAAAGTTCAATACACGGAGGCAATGCATCTTCTAAAAGTTCTTTTTTCTTGTGGCTATAAAGAATAAGTTCTGTAACGAAATATTTTTACAGTACGGTATTCAGAAATAATGACAAACTGCAACGACTTGCGTCTATTTTATTTATGCACTCGCTTGATAATAATACTTCTACGACACTCATAATTTCACCAGACAACCGACAGCACGGCATAGTTTATTAGGAACAGGTTTATACAAGAAAATCCAAAATGTGATTCAATCTTACAGATCGAACCTTAACATATTTATTTACTTTCGCTTATGCATGATTACATCACTGGCTAGTACAATTGACTCTTACATACAATACGAATTTTTGAGTTACACGACCTAATCGCTGCGTGACCTGGTGTCAGGCACGTGACACGTGACCTCGGAATTCCAAATTTGGGTTTATCAGCCGGATTCTGAGAATCGTCAGATTCGGCGAATAGGTCCAATTGGGCGGAAAGAGGAAATATGGTGGATAATAATAATCATAGCAATAAGAGTAATTATGCTATTATATCACGTAAAAATAGATAGTAAATAATTATAAATAAAGGCCTTGGCCCTTCGGGAGGGATGACTCCTGCTTTGCCTAAATAATAAAGTATTGAAGTCATATATTATAAACTATACTCGTTCATCTAAACACTCGCCAAATCTAACACGCCTCTTTCGTAACCTGATCTGTTGGTCGATTACTCGAACCTGATTGCTGCGGAACGATTCTCGTTTGACAACGTCGATCCAAACCCACAATCATTGCTATAAATATTAATACTATAGCGATAGTTCGTAAGTTAGTTGTATGAATATCTTTAAACCAAAAAATTCCGACTACTCAATTATATATTGAGCGTCATAAGTTTAAAATAAATCAATTGAATATCATTAAGCATTTTAATCAATCTGCTAAGTAAGATCTTGAATTTCTTAACAATTATCAAGACCTCCGTAATTTACATTTTGAAATCTATCATGTATGACTCAGGGGAATTCTTAATGCAAAACAAGTAATAGACTACTCATGAAAATAATTTCATATTTGTTAATGACACTTTTTTTAAAATAAAATTTGTGACGGATTAAATAAAATGAAATATTGTACAATGTAAAAACAGACAAACCACTGAAAATAAAATTTTTGAAATGCATTTTTAGGATTAAGGTTAGGGTTAGAGGTTAGTTTTAGAGTAGAGTTTATAATAAACAAGTTTAAATTTGAAACCCCCATTTCATTTGAATTATTATAAAACGCACCTATGGTGGTTTTACACCTATGTATAATTTCTTTTAATAAAATTTAGGGTTAGGGTTAGGAAATTAAGAATTATTTTTTTTTTATATAATATATTATAGAGCTACTATAAGGGCCCGATCTCAGTTCTCGTGAGGTTTTTGGGGGTCCTGAACATTTTTACTTAGAGAACCCGATCCCGATTACTTAGTACGTTTTTGAGAAACGGGGCCTATGGTGTAAAACCACCATAGGTGCATTTTAGTAAAATTCTTTCATTTTAATCAGATTTCATTATGAATATCCACGGCATTATATAATTACAAAAAATATTCCTAGGAGCAAAATCTTGATTAGTACCTGGTGTGTACTTTGTCAGGTGGCGGGTATTTTATGTGGGGAGTTTATATAAGGAGAATACTTTAATTGATCAAATCATTTAATAGAATTATAACGAAAATGAAAAAAGACATAAAAGAAGTCATGCACTATATAAATTACACCCTAGATATACCCAGGTCTTTTACAATCATGTTCATGATAAATACTTGATTAATCCCAGATAAAAATCGTGGGGGTACACTAAAAAGGGGGTACTATTTGTCGAAAATTACAGTAATTATATTATGATAAATCAGTAATGATGATGCGACATAATATGAAAAAATAATAAAGATCAAAACTTTGCCTTAATAAAATAAATAATTTTTTTTTAATAATAGCTGCAGAACTATAAAGATATTACATTCTGAATCAGAAGTCTTTTTCGGCAAAAGAAAATTAATGCTGTTATGATGAGGTTTTGAACACATTATATTTTTATGAAATAACAGGCCAAGGTGTTATTTAGAAAATAATGTCCTCCAATCAACTCTCCCCAATGATCATCTGGACCAGAATTTCCTACCAAAGAAAAACAAAAATCTTGTTGGAGAGTCATGGCCTAACATGTGGTTTGCCTAGAGATTAATAGTTTTTCTCTTTTGGAACTCCTTTATAAGCTGTGCGTTTGGCATGCAAGCCAAGAGCATTGGTATACAAGATAACTGGCAGGAGGTGTGTGCTCTTGGATACAAAATCTTGGTGAAGAGACTGGAGTCTTCTCCGTCAACGAAGCACTTAGGCTGTTACTTTGAAACAAGGAACACAGGGGAAACAACAAGTATTTGCCTTTCTTTAAGCCGCACTCGTTTACTTGGCCAGGTAGTTTCTTTTTTTTTCTTTTACCCGCCCTCCCATCGGTCTTCCAAAAATTTTGACAAAAAGTGGGGATTTGGCTTACTCCCTCCAAACAATTGGCATAAGTTACACAGTGTTTACATTCCCATATCCAGTTGACGTGGTAGATGGCAATCACGTGTCTAATAAGCAAACATGGTGCTACCGGTTTTGACTCGGGACTACTAAAAACTGAAGAGTTGGCATGGGACGATAACAGTACCTGATTAGAAGAACCCGGGCAAAGACTTCCGGAAATAGTAAGGTCAGAGAGAAATTAATAGTATAGGCAAAGCCTTACAATAGAGATATGCAGTGTTGCTATAAGCATATAATTTTTATACTCGCCTGGCACGGGTTATAATAGTGCATTTTTCCTTTTTTCTTATTGGGATTACCGACTTTTCTTTTTTACTTTTTTGCTGGTTTATTTATGATGGAATTATATTTAGGATAGTTTCTTTCTGTGGTTTTTGGTTTTAATTTTCCTTTCAATCTCCTAAATGTTTTTGGTCTTTCATAAACGTGGTATATATGATTTTGCTTATAAAGAGTAGAAGATAGTTATTCTGCCCGGATTCTGGTAGAAAAAGTTAAAAGAAAGGTTGGTGATCCTGACGAGATATACAACGGCCAGTCCATAATCAAGGGGGTACCCTTTGGGATACAAAATTATGAGTGAGTTCATGATCACTGAGTAAACAAACAGTTGTTATAGCAGGTCGCATTGGGCTTTTATGCCTGGTGAGTCTTTATTATGTTAGAGCATTAGGTTGTAAGAATTTTGTACACACGGGTGTAAAAATTATATAACAGTTCACATGAATAAAGGCAGGATTGCTTAAAAAAAAAAAAAAAAAAAAAATCATGCCCTCTAAAAATAGCATCTATGGTTTTGAAATAACACTCTGATGCATCTCCAAATAACACACCCTATATGTATCTAGTTGATAAGTATGATGATTATAAATTCACATTAAATAAAGAGATTTGTTAAAACTAGGTGTGTTTAATATATTAATCTATATACTGTATAAATTATATTATAAATTATTTTCTTAATATCTATATAATTTGTAACCTTAATTATATCAAAAAAGTAACTCTAACTTCATCAAAAAAGTAGTTCTAGCAAACCTGGCTTTAACATTTCCCTAAATCAGCTGTGAATTATATTGTTTCAAAATAATGTCTCAGTGCATACTTTAAATAATATAGTTATACTCAAAATAATATACCAAAGTGCATTATTTTGTAAAAATTATGATATTAAAAAAACTAAACTTCCAAATTTAAACATTAGGTCTCGTTTTTACAAAATTTTTATATCAGTACAACTGAACAGCTTCAT